GCAGTGCAGCGCAGTGCAGCGCAGTGCAGCGCAGTGCAGCGCAGTGCTTGTCGATCCGTTCTCTCGTGATGACATGGGAAGAACACATAGTTAAAAAAGGAAGGGGAGGAAAGAAAAAAAACGATGAAAAACAAGGAAAATAACTCCAGATCCAGGAAGCCTGCGCTAAGTGCTTGTGAATATCAGTAAAAAATGATCAAAAATATTCAAGCACCAAAATCTAACTACCGAGCAAATTTAACGTTAAGGAAATGAAGGCATTATTGCTGTGACGGGGGAAGAGGAGTAATCCGCCGAGCAGCAGCGCCCCGGCCATCGTCCATCGCCCGCCGCTGAGCGGGTCGTGACCTGGGCGATGTGCGCGGCGCGCGACCTTCCTTCCCGGGAAGGCGGCGCGGGCACAAAGCGCGCTGCCGTCACGCCCCGTGGGGCCGTCATGGCCGGCAGAGCCCTCGGCTTATGAAAGGGTTACTGGCAAAGGTGCACTGTGCGAAGAATTTACTGAGATGAACTTGAGCTTTGCCGGTGGATCTGTGGTCGCATCGGGACCGTTAACGCTCTTTGCCGGTGAGGACCGGGTGTGGAGCGCTCGGAGTACCGCCCCAAACCCGCGCCGTCCTAGCAGCCAGCAGGCTCAGTACTGTGTGCGGAGCTGCGATAAAGCCTCCCCGCACAAAAAAGTTGCTTTCGGGCCGCGCTCATTGCGCCTGCGCCCGAACTTGTCACCGCCCCGGCCCTCGCCAGGAGGGTTCCACCAGGAGAGGGGGAGAAGCCGCAGCGGTTGCTGAGCTCTCCCCAGTCCGCTGCACTGCGATGGCAGCGCCGCTGCCTCAGCTCCTCCCCGCCTTGCCGCAGAGGTGGTCTGTGCCGCGCACGGGCGGCCGGCTGCGGGGCGTGCCGGCGCCGTTCCCTAGGTGAGTGCGTTCGTCGTCCCTCCCGCCGTGGCCTCGTCAGCGCTGCCAGCGTGGAGCCGGCCCGTGCTGAGGCGGAAGTTTCCGGTGGGGAGGCGGTGTGCAGCGGTGGCTGCACTGGCTATGGACGCGACTCTGGAGGTCTGTGCGAGCGGCTGCCGAGGCGGGGCCGGGACACCTGCGAGCGGCCGGGCGCTGAGGCGCGGTGGGCCTGCGAGGCGAGCGGCCCAGAGAGGCGAGCGGGCAGCGGCGGTCGCGTCGCTCGATGGGGTGGGGGCCGAGCGGAGAGAGCCGGGGCCGGCGGTTGGCGGGACCTTGATTTTGTGCTCGACGCCTGCTTTGTGTCGAGCGAGCCTGAGGAACTGGAAGCACCGGCGGAGTCCTGCTGCTGCTGCCCGGCCGTGCCCAGTGAACCTCTTTGGGAACGCTTTTCGTCCCTTAAAATAAGATGAACGGTATTTTCTGGGAACGTTAAGCTTCAGCAGGAGAATATTTGACCTCTTTGCTCGCGCTCGCTCTCTCTCTCTTTTTTTTTTTTTTTAAATTTTCATTTTATTCTGGAGGTGTTTGCAGCCCCAGGTTTGCTCTCCCATGTCCAGTGTACAAAACAAATACTCTGTTATAGCAGAAGTCACTGACTAAACTTATTATGCTGTAGTTACTGTGAATCGGTGAGAATCTAGCAGTTACCCAGGACCTGTCACTTGTGATGGCTCTTACTGCACCTGCTGCGCTTCCTCAAAGCAAACGGGTTGCTCGTGTTGTGACTGCTTGTCAGCAGCATTGTTGCTGTCTTTGAGATGGTATTTATTTGAAACAATTTATTTCTTATGCAGTTGAGATCTTATTGTATCCCTTCCCCTTTAGGTCATTTACTGTATTCAGCATGCTTAGTCCTATGTAATCTTTGGAAGCAGCTAGATGTGTGAATAGGATGAGCTGTTGTACAGTGAGTAAAAAGGGAATTTGGAAAGTCTCTTCCTGATGTAGTTAATGAGTTGGTAGCAAACCATTTCACTATTTTAAATGCAGATGAAAAATGCAATACTTGAGACTTGGTTTTGGCAGGCTTTAAGAACTTCAGATCTTTACTGGCCCTAGCAAAAATCTCACTGACTGCTGCTTATTCAGGAAAGCTTAATGAAGTAACATCTAACTGAGCATAGCAGTTTAGGGTATGCTCTTTGTTGCACTTAAGTCCAATTGACTTTAAAGAAATGTTGATGCTTTACTGAAAAACTTCTTAAAAGTTTTGTTGGACTAGGTCACTGTCATTAAATGCTTACATTTCGTAATGAAGCCCATGTTTTGGTTATTTGTATTGTTTATGGTATGCTGTAGTTTGTAAACAGTGACGACTCTGAGAACTAACGTGCTTGATAGTCAGTATACACAAATAAGTGTGTAAACTTGTTGCCATTTGTTTTACCTTTTTTTTTTTTATCATGGCTTTTTTGTCCTTGGATGATAAAAACTGTGGTCCTCTGTATAGTAAATATCATAGTACAATTATTGTCTTTTAGCCACTTAGTGGTTAATACTCAGTTCCACTGGGTGACTGTAAGGGTTGGGCCAGGATGCACCCCTTCCCAGCTCTCATTTAAGGGCTGGCAGTGGAGATGAGGGGATCTCACAGGAGATCCTTATATACCTGAAGACCTTGCAGGCCTTCCACAGGTAAGCAGTTTCTTGCTCTTATTTTCGTAGCCCCTGCTGTTTTGTCTGAGTGCATCCTTGTTCAATGTGGCCTGGGACTTCGTTGCTCTGCTCTCTTGTTGCACTTTCCATCACATTCCACTCCACAATGCTGCTTTTCTTGAACATGAAAAAAACAGTTAGGGTTTGTCGCTCAGCATGTGATTTCTGACTCCTGTTACTGCATTAATTACCATGGCATCCTGGTAACTTTATGGAAAACCTGAGGCAGCAGATGTGCGTGCAATTGTGCTGCACATTAAGGAAGTGATAAAGTTCAAAAGAACAGATGTCTGTAAGCAGAAGCCTTGTGTTCGTATGGTGCCATTTTCATTCGAGTCATGAAACGCAACTTTTTCAAGGTATTTCTTTACCCGTGGAATACATACAGTACTCTTATGGGTAAAGAATACTCATGGTTCTTTGAGACTAATTTATAGTTGAGAACAGTATTTATTTTTCAGAAGTAAAACTTTTTCATGGGCAAATGTAATAATGGAAGGGGAAAAGGAGGCACGTTTCTGATGAATACTGTGCTACATCTGAATCTCTTTGCACACATGTATTTATGTAGTCTGTTTAAAAGCATCCCTTTCTGATGTTCCTTTTCTGTCTACAGAAAAGCCAGCAAAAGTTCAAAATAAAAGTTGTGAAACACTGGTGTTCTCATTTTTTAGTTTGTAATTAATGATCAGTTTTATTGCAAACTGGAGTGCTTATCTCCATACTTCCCCTGTTGCCAAGTAACCATGAAATACTAACATCATATCTGAAATACTTTACTGCTCGAAGTACTTAAAAATAATAAATTTGGAGCTGTAGGATACAAAAGCGTAAACACGAATCAGACCTCTGCCAAAATTAACCTTAGTGAATTAGATTAGTACATCTCAAAGGCAGTAAATAGCAACAATCAGAATAGGCTGGTCAGTGTCAGGATTTTGGAAGAATGGGAGGTAGAAGTGCCAGTGGATGCCTCCTTAGGGCTTGAAGTACTGTTGCATGTTGTAATGCAAATGGCTGAAGGATCACCTTACTGTGATTAGTCAGATCCTGTTGATTCCAGGAAAGGGACTGAGCCCAGAATCTAAGACTTATGTAAACAGTGTCAGTTTCTGAGGTGCTTCTGCAAGTAGTGTCCCAGTTTTTTGTAGTTACTTCCCTGCTTGCATTTCCAATGCCTTGTCAGCAAAGGAAAAACATACTAAAAAGGTTTTCATATTAATGTATGAAGACAAACTTTCAGCAAATATGTCGCTTCGTCAGATGTTTGTGTGTTTATCAATTGCTGCTGTCCTTCTGTATTGTTCCTTTTCACTTCATTACAGAATGCTCTCTATCTGATTGAATACTATCTTTTCTCATACCTTTCCTCCCGCTTTTTCTGTATCTTTTGCTTCTTCTCCATAAGCCAGTAGACGTTTACAGTGTTTTCTCAAACAGTGGTGGCAGTGGATTTTGACAGTGCTGTCTGGATGTGCTCACTAATGGTAGAGATTGGAACTACCAGTGGTACTGGGAATCTACAAAGTATCAGAGCTGAGAGCACTGTTGCATTCTGCTGGGTCACCTAGTCCACTACTTCTGAGTGCCTAAGGACACAAATTGAAAGCAGTCACACCACTCCCCTGTCATTCAGTTCTGCATGAACTGTAGCCTAAGCAATCACATAAATCATCTCAGACTTGACCAGAAAAAAAAGCAAAAATGCATTTAACACAGTTAATTGGATGAAGAAAAATTTAAGGCTGTGAAAATTTTGCTGTGCTGGGTGGAGGGTTATCTTACTACTTGGCAGAAGGAACCACAGAGATGAAAACAGTTTTGTTGGGATGATACGCATGAAGGAGAAAACCTTGCAGGAGGTTAAAAAAAAAAAAAAATATCTAGTTGAAGCATGTTGGTGAAAGGAAGTGACCTGAGATAGGACTTTAGTGCATCCTGCTTTAGAATTGTATTTACTTTGTTGTCCAGTGGAGTTTTTATTTCTTCCAAGAGGGGTTGTGTACTCACATGGAGAAAAAAGGCATTGACAAAAGGCAGCAGATTATTGTGTAGGCATGCTTTTAACAATTGTAATCAAGAAGCTAGAAAAAAGACATTATATATCATAAACAAACAAGCAAGGAAAAGCCTTTGAAATGCATAGTTTTTGTCAGGGACAAAAAAAAAAATAAATAGTCCTGCATAAACTGAAGCATGGTAAAGAAATCTGAGTTTGCTAGCATAGGAAGTTGACCCGCAGTGTATTAGAAGTCACTAAGACATCTGAAAATACATTTAAATGAAAGTTAGCTGTGCAATAAGTGTTACAGAATGCTTATGAGAGCTGAAAATATATGCAGTTATGCTGTGTTAAAACTCTCATTTAGGAAGACAAAAAGACCTTTGAGCTGCCTGAGGTGGAAAGCTTTTAATTAGTTTGACAGCATGGCAGCAATTACATGCAAGTCAGGTGTAGAATTTCATGTTGTGTAGACAGGTCCTTAGATTCAGAGCATTATGTACAAAATTTTTCCAAGTTTTTTCAGTTTTCAAGTTTTTGGAGTTGCTTTTTGCAGTCTTGTTATTAGGATTACAGTTCATTGTGAAGAAATGAATGATTTGTGCAGCAGGGTGACCATAAAAAATGGTTTTAAAGTTTCTGCTACTGTAGTTAGAAAGATGCACTTTTTTGTTTTCCTAGCATGTATATATGTTCGTCTTCTGCTGTGCTTCAAATCTTATGGCTGTTGGTTTTGAAATTGCCTTTGTAATTCTTACTGCGTTGGAGAGTCATTAGGAAAAGTCTTTATATATAATGCAGCTGTTGTGCACTCCTACTGCCTGCCCCAAATGTGTGCATGAATGTGTCCTTCAAAAGGTGATGTTCAAGAGCTTGTCTGTTAGTCTCCTTATAAAAATACAAAAAATACTGTTTCTTGCTGCTTGGAGCTTATATACACATCATCTTATTTACAGACTAAACTGAACTAGTGTGCGACTTTACTATGGCATGCTATTAAAGCGTATCCAGAATTCTTTAACAGAACGGTTTGCTGTTGCAACTTTGCCACACCTGTTTTTCATACTGTTTAAAATAAGCAGATAGTCTGCTGCTATACACGTCCATGCCCTTACTGATGAGAATGGAGGAGGAAGCATATATAACGTTCATTACAGAATGGTTAAAGGGTTCTTTTGTGTCCTGTAATTCCAAGGAATGTGAATTGCTGTGTATCCACTTAGCAATTGGAAAAATACAGAAGGAATTTATTTTCCAATCAAGCCCCGATCTGAATTCAAGGACTGTTGATTTCATAGTATTTTATGGAGCCTAGCATAGCTTCTCATTACTTTTTAAACTTTTTAACGTCTTTATTCTGTTAGCTTATTACTACAGGGGTTTAATGCATGGATAATTAGTGCATGACTGAGCAAGTCACAAGGCAAATGTATGCAGTTCTTAACATCTGCTGTAGTTCCAGCTGAATTTTGGTGTTAGTAACAAACAATAGCAGTGCAAAGGCTCTTTTGTAAGGCTCTAGTTTCAACCTCCCTGCTGTGTGCAGGGTCACCAACCACCAGACCAGGCTGCCCAGAACCATATCCAGTTCTTCTGTCTCTGACAAGTGCTTTAACAAGAATCTGTTACCTGCTTTCAGCATGGGATTCATGATTTCTTTATTTTTGTCCTGTTTTGTGCAGCTAGAGGGCTGCAGCTGCTGAAAGATAAACCTTTTCTGTAGCTTGGAATTTCTTTAGACAACAGCCATTCAGTTTTAATGTGTAGTCTAGTTAAAAGGCCTCTCTCTGATAACATTAATAATTGATTTAAAGTTAATAGAAGTAGGAGAAAAAATAGGTTTACAAGAGCATTTGGTTTAGCTGGTGTTTGGGAACTGCTGAGTCACGGCCTGAACCTCTGATTGATCACCTGAGGCGAGCCATGAGTCAGGCAGAGGAGCACAGGTGAAGGCAATTCACCTCTGCTGCCGGAAGAGGTGGAGCCTGGCTGCACCCCTCCTAGACCTATTTAAGAGCTGGCTACCAGAGGGGAAGGATCTCTTCTGGAGATCCCTCCTTCTGGTGTTTTGTAGTGAGCCCAGCATAAGTGTAAGCCTTACATTTATTCTCTTTTGTTATCATAATCTACTTCGCCTAACTCTCTTGTTTATTTTGTGATTGTAACATCTTAATATCCGTTGATTATACAGTTGGTTTCCCATCTACTTTGCCATCTACTTTGCAAACTATTGTTGTGGAAGTTCAATGGGGAAACCCAAACGAGGAAATGACAGGGAATGCTGGAAAAACTGCCTTTTTACTTCTAAGTTTGCTAGTGCGGTCTTAAATGATATTTTCATGCTTTTCATTAAAAAGAAAAAAAATCTCAAATACTTACTACTGAAGTGTTGAAGTATTTCTTAGTTGAACTGGTAATCTAAATAATAACATCTACAGCAATAACAAATAGCAAACTGACAGCCTATTCAAGGTTTCTTTTGAATTTACATCTGAATGCTCTGTGATCTAAAATCTGCCTTGGTGATATTTTCCAGTGTTGGCTTTCCTATACAGCTTTTCTAGAAGGTAACTGTCTTTTAAAGATAACAGTGTTGAGTTTATTTACTGATTTTGGTCTGTTTTTTGTTTCTCATTGCTTTTTCTTGTTATTAATATGGCAGAAGGGCTAGAGAGTTTTTGGTTTCATTTGTTGTTTTTATGAGAATCTGTGCACTATGAGAGCTGACTGTCAGGGTGTAGCGTGGCTTCAAAGAATTGAATCAACTGAGAATATGGGAATTTTATTTTTTTTCTTTGGTGTGGAGGCGTGAGTTCTCAGGTGAAGTTAAAGGAGAATTTCTAATTTAGATCTGCCACTGAAAGACTTGTATTTAAGATACAGTGCTGTTTTCTATTCTCTGTAGAAGGGTTTTATGGTATTCCTTAGCACATTTGTTTTTTAATAGTGTGGCATGTGAGATTTTGTATTTAAGGGAATAACTGAGGTTTTGTTCACAATGAAGAATGGTTAAGGAAAGAAATCATTCAGTAGGGCTAAAATGGCACGTGTTTAGTTTTTGTTGTTAAAACATTATAGCAAGGGCTTACTTGAACACCTTGTGTTTATTTACTTATTTATTTTTTCCCCCCTCTAGTGCTTGCTCTTTCGTTCTTCATCATAATCCAAAAGAGATAAGTAGAGATTCCAGAGGATTTTTGAAAAAGTTCTGACTCCTTGTAGTGTTACTGTAAAGTGTATCTGTAAAGTTTATCAGGAAAGACTCAAGCTGAATTGTTAGACAGTATGCATTCTTTAATAACAGCCCTGGATGCATGGAGGATACTCTCTTCCTATCAGGCGTACCTTGCACAAAAAGTTAGTTTGTATGCATCCAGAGGTCTTCCCAGAGCTACATACGTATTCCACACGGAGAGTCCTGGAACCTCCCATATCTATTCAATGCAAGGTCTGGCAGAATGTCCCTTATCTGTTCAATACGAAGACACTGACCCTTCCTGTTATCTAAACAAACTATAAGGCTGTCCATCAAGGGACTTAACAAGCTGCAACTTGTATTGGAGATAAAATTTGGATCTGTGGATAATAAGATCCACATTACAGTCAATTTCTGTTTTGGGTTAGTTATTTTAGGTTAGTAGTATGCTTTAATTTTCTATGTTTTTAATTGTTGAATTTTCTATGTTCTGAATTTTCTATGTTGATACAACATATCATTTCTAAGCAAATATACATTACATGAGTTTGTAATGAGGGTGTTTTGGGAACAGAAGGTAAACAATGTGCTGGTCTTTTCTCTAGCAGATGGTTGACCCTACTCTAGCAGAAATGGGAAAGAATCTGAATGAAGCCATGAGGATGCTAGAAGATAGTCAAAGGTATATACAGAGAATAACAACCACAAAACAATAGTATTTGTGTGCAAGTTCTAACTATAGATGATATTGTTATTAAGCAAGATGGAATTCATTTTTCTAGTATTTTAAGGACATACTGTATTCTGAAGCTTACACCTACAAAAATTGCTTTTTCTCAAATAATAGAATTTTTTAAAATCTGTATATATATTGTGCTTGCTCTGTAATATTTAGGGCCAGTCTGTTTTTCATGTATATTAGACGCTTTCCTGTTACTGTGCAAGTAACTTCTAATGTGCTCATATATGAGAGTTCAACGTTTTCTGTTAAAGAACTCAAGAAGCAAAATGTGGTAGGTCTTTAACTTAGTCTTAGCTAAACTTAGTGCGCTGGAATAGTGTGGAGTCTCCTTCTCTGGAGATATTCAAGACCCACCTGTACCCACCCTGTGGGTAACTTGCTTTAGCAGGGGTTTGGTTGGATTGATGATCCACAGAGGTTCCTTCTGCTCCCTGCGAATCTTTGACTCTGTTTCTTTTTTGGTCTCACCTGATTTATTAAACTGTTTTCAGTGAAATAGGTTGCAAACATATGAATATGTATTTTTGTAAGTCAAGGTCAGTTACAAAACACAAAGTAAATACATAGTTTGTTCTTATGTCTTTTAGAAAAGAGGAGGAAAATGTAAAGAAGTATGCACGGAAGGATATTCCTGGACCTCTGCAAGGCAGGTAGGCAACAAGTATTTTTTTGATAATGCTCTATAACCATTATCATAGATGTAATATATGTGACACCTCTGAAGGTTTACCAGTTCAGGTACTGCAACAACTTTTGTGACAGTTTCTATAGTCAAGAAGGTAGAAAGGTAACTAGGTAACTGAAGTCACCTGACTGAAGAACATTGGTGCATATAGCTGTGATTAAGGTTAAATGTAGATATACCTGTGCATAGAATAAAGATTCACTAGAACATACAGCTGGTAAACTAATAACTGAGACTGGTAAGATAGAAAAATTTAAAAACAAAAAAAAATTCAATTTGGCACATCCATTGGAAAAAATCATATGGAACTTTTGTGCATATGGCAGAAAAGATAATTGCATCTGAAAACTAAGACTTACATTTTTTGTATTCTTCACTCTAGAAAACATTTACTTTAGAAAACACTGCAAAATTTATTGAACTTTTTATGTACATAAACCAAATTTCTTTTGGATTGGAGCTACTGAATTTTTCCTAAAAATGAAAAGCAGTTTGAAATATGTGTGTCTTAAATGGCCTCCTTGCAAGACAGTGGTGCTAGCTTTGTTGTTTTTAATGTCTGGTGCTTTTTGTTTTCCCTCACTGGTATACCAGTGGCCAGGATATGGTGAGCATACTTCAGTTAGTTCAGAACCTAATGCATGGTGAAGAGGAAGAGGAGTCTTCACAGGCCTATCGGTAAAGTCAATATGAATATTTGTATGGGAAAAATACCTGATATTATGCTATGTGATTATTACAGAACTTACACTTTAAAATGCTTAAATGTGTAACAATGGCATGCAAACGTGACTTTTTAACGGCTACTTAATTACATTCTATAGTGAAGTAGTATAATGTGCTGTTCTCGGCTTTCTTAAAATTACGAAGCCTTAAATGAGTTAGGGTTATTGTTAAACTGGATTGTAAAAGGCAATGATTTCTGATTTGACAGCTCACTCAGCTTTTTCCCTTCTGAAAGTTGTATCAAGTCTGAAAGTCTTACGTACCTTTGAATACCAGCAAGCTCTACAGGGAGAGATAGTAATTGTTTTTAAGGTTTCCATTTTCCTGGATAATTGAAATTATGCTGTATATAGAATATTATTTGAAGTTAACAATTTCAAAACAGTTTGGAGAAGAAAAAAACACAAAAAACAGAACTAATGAAAACTTGCCTCTAACAATCTTCATAATAAATTTTCTGAGTTTTCTCAGCGTAAGGAGAGAAAGGTATTTGTTTAATGAACATTCAAGCCACAGTGCAGATAAGGTGCTTAGTTCCAGCTGATTACAATAAACCTTCAATTAGCATAAGGATTTTATTTGAATGGGTAAAAAAGAAGATGAGTTGTTTAAAAAAAGATGAGTTGTTATAAGCAGTTAAGATAAGTGAAGCACAAGTGTTGTCTGTACTAGCATTTCACTGTGTTAATGCACAACAGTGGGAGGGTGTCTGGTATATAATGTATTTCTCTCTGATAAGTATTTCATGTTAACAAATTCTACCACTACAGCAAAAAATAAAAACATAGTTTCTATAATATCATAACTAGTATTTAGTTGGCAATGTCTGTTGTGGCTTGCAGACTTCAAAATGTTGGTGAGCAGGGTCACATGGCTCTACTGGGACATAGTTTGGCTGCCTATATATCAGTATTGGACAAGGAAAGACTGAGGAAGCTCACAACAAGGATCCTTTCTGATACTACGCTCTGGCTCTGCAGGCTTTTCAGGTGAGTTTCTTTGAAAAACTTACACATGACTAGGCAGTAGTAATTCTTTAATGTAAATGCTTTGCTTTTTCAGCAAAAGAAGTCTCTGTCCTGACCTTGTAACTAATCTTTGAAAGGTCTTAAAACACAGAATCACAGAATGGCCAGGGTTGAAGAGACCTCAAGGATCATGAATCTCCAACCCCCCTGCCACATGTAGGGCCACCAACCTCCACATTTAATACTAGACCAGGCTGCCCAGGGCTCCATCCAGTCTGGCCTTGAACACTTCCAGGGACAGGGCATCCACAACCTCTCTGGGCAGCTGTTCCAGTACCTCTCTACTCTCTCTGAAAAGAATTTCCCTCTGACATCCAACCTGAATCCTCCCTTCCTCAAAACCATTTCCCCTTGTCCTGCAGTTATCGATGCTTTCAAAGAGTTGACTCCCTTCCTGTTTGTAGGCTCCCTTTAGGTACTGCAATGAAGTTGTCTTTTCTCGAGGCTGAACAAGCTCAGCTCCCTCAGCCTGTCTTCATAGGGTAGGTGCTCCAGTCCTCTGATCATCTTTGTGGCCCTCCTCTGGACCCTCTCCAAAAGCTCCCTGTCTGGGGGCTCCAGACCTGGAGGCAGTACTCCAATGGGTCCTCATGAGGGCAGAGTAGAGAGGGACAATCACCTCCTTGTGCCTACTGGCCACGCTCTTTTGATGGAGCCCAGGATACCATTTGCCTTCTGAGCTGCAAGAGCACACTGCTGGCTCGTGTTAAGCTTTTCATCCGTCAAGACCCTCAGGTCCTTCTCCACAGGGCTGCTCTCAAGGGCAGTGCGTCTCCTTTTTTCAGATGCTGAATGGCAGGAACTAGTTTGTAATATAGTTGCCATAAAAATCCTGTTAAGATGGCTGTATGGCAGTTAAGGACCAAAGTACAGTTGCAGACATAAGTGGTTGATCACTTAGTTGAATTCTTGTTTCTTAAGGCATATGTTTGAGAGGTCTGAGGTACTTTATGCCTTTGAAACATGTATTCAGTAAACTTCTCCTTTACTGTTCCTGGATCTAGTTCGTTTTTCTTGGTGTGGCAGGTAATACTACTAAAACTTAGAATACAATGTGATCTTTGATAAATGCTTGTTTCATCATATGGTGTAAATATAATGTTCCACAAGAGAAGAATATGGAAATCATCTGTGTGGGGTTGTTAGAGTAGGAAGGGACTTGCTGATTAGAAATGCTTTTTTTCTTCCTGAAGCAAAAATAAATAAGAATCCCATTTTATCACTCATGATACTGTAGCTTTCAAAAAGTCATGCCAGTACTGCTGACAAGCGTTACTGTAGTGTGTTGTGCGTGTAAGATAAAATGGTTTAAAAAAAAAAAGCATTTGTGAACAAATGCCACTCTTAAATTTTACAATACTACATATTTACTTGTCCCACCAACAAATGCTAAAGGAAGGATCTCATATGTAAGTTTTTCATTAAATTTACATATCTACTGTTTCCACTGTTGCTGTTTGCTGTGATTGATGACAGTTGAGGGATTGTCCTCAATTGTCTGTGTCTTATCTTCTCGTTATTTTGCTTGTTTCTTAGTAATCTCAGCCTTTCTCAACAAAATTTCAATTTCCTTCTACTGTGCTTTATCCTGCTCAGATGGTAGTTGTACCTTTTGTCTTTTGTGAACTCTTTCACTGATCAGTATTACTTTAGTTACTAAACCGGCTATTGGTTTGTGGGTGTTTTGTTGTTTTTTTGGGTTTTTTTTTTTTTGTCATTCTCAAATTTTTCTTACAGGTATGAAAATGGGTCAGCTTATTATCATGAAGATGATCGCGAAGGTCTCCTAAAAATCTGCCGACTTGTTATTCACACATGCTATGAAGACTATACAGTAGAAGGATTTAATGTGCTATGTACTAAGCAGCCTGTTATATACATTAGTTCTGCAGCTAGAACAGGCTTGGGCCAAGCTCTCTGCAATCAGGTAAAGTAAATCAGGTGGGACTCCAAAAAACCTTAGCTATCTTCACACTGCCTATTTGAAATCTAGATTTTAACAAAAATGCAGACTTCCTGCAAGAAACTGGTGCTTTTTATTGTCAGCAGTCTTGTAAATTTGTTGGGACCAGTGAAAGTTTCCTCTAAATCTGTGTGTCTGCCTGGGATGTACACTGGAGCTTCTTTGAGATTTTTTTCCCAGTGCTACTCTGTTGAGTGAATGCAGGTTTCCCCAGACAAGCTGAGCAGTTTCTGCAGTTCTCCTGTTTCTTCCATGCGTTTGATAGCTGTTGTCAGATCGGTATTTCATATGAGATTACTGTCTCATCTCTGTGTTGTCTTTCAATGAACATAATAGGTTTTTGTACCTTTATTAAATTATTGTATATTTCTGAGACTTACTGTCCCAGTTTGAAGAGTTAATGATGCAACACCTCTCTCTCCCCTTGCGAGAAAGAAGAGCAAGGAAAAGGAAGAAATCTGATTGTGATAGGAGAAACTGATTTATTAAAAGGAATGTGAGATAATGCAGAATGATTTGGAATAATAAATCAGTTGAACCAAAAAATTAACTGATGGGGAGAGAGAAGCTGAGTCTTTATCAGCAGGCCCTCCATGGCTAGCCTTCCAGAAAAGATGAGAGAACTTCCCCCTAATCTGAAATCGGGAGATCGTGTCGGGAGATCAGTTCTCCCAGAGCTGACACTTGTGAAATAGCTGAGGCTGCTAGAAAGGAAGCATGCAGGAAATACAGTCAACATTGTGCTTAAGCATCAGATGGCCTGCCATGTGATGTCATGATAAGGAATACTGGTAAAACCAGGACACTTAACAGTGATTTATGTGCCTGTTAAAAGAGGGTATAAAGAGAGACATTTTGAACAGTGAAGTCTGGTGTCAGAGTTCAATTTTGATTCTAGGAAAAGCATAACTTCAGTGATTTTATGAATTTATTTAATTTTCTCCCATGGTAAAAACAGTAGCAATGTGAAGGAGAGGGCAAAGGAGTTTCAGATAAGGCTATACTTTGATTTTAGTGGAATATCTGCAAGCTTGTAGTGTGAGAATATACATTGTGTTAGCATTGCTTTAGTAATTCTGCTTTTCAAACTTATAAAACATAGGCAAAGGTCAACTTCAGTTACGAAAGATGTTGACTGCAGGGAAATAAAGTTGGTATCAAAGAAGGAAGTAGACAAAAATAACTTGAGAATTAAGTGATAAAGGTTGTTATCTTTTCAAGCAAAATGTTGGTGTAGTTATTGATTGAAATTGATGCAAAAAATGCTACTAAGAACTGGTATTTTGCAAACCTTTTGCTTCTGAATACAGACCAGAGATTGCTAATAACACTAGTGCCTCATCTCTTGTTGGTATGGTAATGCATCCTTATCGGGTGATCACTGAACTTAAGTGATGCTGTTTAAGCTTAGACTGTAATAAGTGGTGTATGGGGTTGTAACACAATGGGAAGCACAACGACAGCAGAGGAGCAAGGTCCTAGCCAAGCAGCAAGTGGGGATTTGCTCAAATGCAAATTTGAGCTCAAAGGCTGTGGGCAGAGAAATAAAGGAAAGAAGCTGCTTACCTTCAGAAGGCCTCAGATGTGCAGGGATCTCCAGCAAGATACCCTTGCTTCCAGTGACAACCCTTAAATGAAGTCTGGTCTTACATGCACCTGAGCTCCCTTGGATTGGCCCTGTCTTCCTACCAGGTGCTCAGTCACCACTTCAATCTGTGAGTTAGCATTTCTGCTACAATTGTAGGGTACACAATTGGAACTTTGATTACAACTGAGTAATTAGACATTAATTTAATTCTGTTTCTGTAAAGTGAAAGTATAAGTACAGATTTGTCTGTAACTGTAGTTATCTTAGTTTGCTAGATCTTCTGTACAAAGTGATATGAGTGTGATCGACTAGATTTCAACTGTCATCTTCCAGGTTAAAGATTAAAATGTATAAGAGACTTTCATTCTTCTTCTGCCACATTAATCATGAAAAGTTATCTGAAATTTACCTCCTTAGCAAAGGAATAACTTCAAACTTAATAATGTGAATTAAGCAGTGTGCTCAAAGTAGGCAGCTTGTTCTTTGCTTTGAAGTGAGGTGTCTGTGAAGTTCCAGTGGAGTTTGGTCCCTCCAGAAAGCAGACATGCAAGGCTGTCCAAGAAAGAGAGGCTTGAGTTTAAGCTCTTCTACAGGGCACAGGTATCTAATTAGAAATGCTACATGCATTTCAAGAACCAAACAGATGTTGACTGTATGGGGCTGTTTGTTTTCAATTCTCCATATGCTTTCTTTCCTCTACTAATAATTTAATCATAAATTTTAGTAAGATCCTTTTCCAGGGTGTAATACCCAGATTTGTATTAAGTTTATTATTTTTTGTCACTTAATATGTATGCTTCTGCAAACATTTGAAATGATTCTCCTGAAGCATGTCTGAGTTGCTCAATTTCCATCATTTTTTATTGCAGCTAGGGTTACCCCTCTCTTGCATGTGCCATGTGCCTTGTAACACTATGTTTGGATCTCAGCATCAAATGGTGAGTTTGTCTTCCCTAAGAACTTTTTTCATTAATAAACTTTTTCCTGACAACTTTATTGATGTTCACTCCATTTTCCAGCCTGTAACTCTACCATAAACCAAATTTTCTAAAATGCCAGCAGCTTGTGTGTTGGCCTTGTAATATGCTGAGTATTTTTTTTATATGTAGTAATACACATTTTAATCCAAGATTTCTAGAACACGCATAGTAGAAGGTATGCTTACAAAGTCCACTATGTACTTATGTCGTATTTTTCACAAAGGCTTTTTTGACCTTTGTTTTTTTTAACCTTTTGAGAAGAAACTGCAAGTCACAACAAAGACATTGAGAACGCCTTTCATAACTTTAGTATGTTGTCCCTTTTCACTCATAACACACTTTCTAGTTCAGTGAAAACAAATCTCTGTTGTTTGATACATATACTTATATATCTTTTTCTTATTGGTAATAGGATGTTGCTTTGTTGGACAGATTGATTAAAGATGATGTTGAGTGTGGAAAACTGCCTTTGTTGCTTGTGGCTAATGCTGGTAAGTGCTGTGGACAGACAATAACAAAAAAGGCATACTATTTCATATATAAAATCCAAAATAAAAGTACATTGTCTTAAATAGTTTAGTGGCTGCATATCAAGAAATATCAGGAAGTATCTTAATGACAATCTGTCCAGAGGGAGTTTTATTTACCTAATTCAAAATTGGATGATACTGCTACAATTCTGTCTATATCAGATGGTGTACTAATATAACTAAAACTCATCTTAATGTGTGTAAATCTTGTTGAGAGTCAATTTCATGTTAGCAAGTAATAATTTTTGATAGATGTGCCATCAACTTTACTTTTAAAATCTGCATTTTTCTCATGTTAATTAAACAAAACTGCCCAGAAGGAAATGGCTTACTTGCTTTGGACTTAAACATAAATACACATATCTAAGACATTAATCTTGGCTCCCATTCTTCCAGTTGAAGTCATACCTTGAAAATATTAAATTAAGAAAAAAAACTTTTTGTATGGGTGCCTTGGTAATTTAGTTTTCACAGAATTTCTAACGTGCACTGGCAAACACAGCTAGCATCTTCAATTTTATCCAGAATATCAGTTGTTCATATCACAATTATATGAATATTGTGTGGTTGACTGTTCTTAAATATCTTCCTTCCTATTCTTGTTTGTGACTTTTCTGGCAGCAGTACAAGAGGTCTTATGTAGAGTCCTAATTTGCATGCTCATCCTTTGTTGTTGCATTTTTTTCCTTTCCAACAAAGGGACGCCAGGTGCTGGGCACACAGATAAACTTGGGCGGCTGAAGGAACTTTGTGAGCAGTATAAAATGTGGCTCCATGTAGAAGGGTATGAAACTTGAGATGTATATTTATAAAACTATATTCATGTAAAAGTCCATTTGATGAACAACACATAGCTTTATGGCTAACCAGCTAGTGGAAGACCAAAAGGCTACCTCTTTTTTTGCCACATTAAGAATTTAACGTGCTTGTAATTTTGCCATTGTATGAGATTGTTTTATGTATACAAGAATAATTAATTGGAGTGATTACTTCAGCATAGGTTATGGGCTACTTTTACTCAGAAGGTAATCCTACCTGCCCTTGCTTTGAAGAGCTTGAAATGCAAACAGAAGAGAACTTCCTGAGACAATTAATGGGAGACATTATATAGTGGTTATTGAGAATGAGAAAGGATGTAGAAGTGCCATTACTTCCATGAATGTCAAGAAGGGTGCCACAAGTGCATTATGCAGCATAACTGGGAGAAAGTTTAAACCAAAAGGAAAAGAAGTTGGAAGAACTCAGGCAATGTTATTGAGCGCTCCAGTGTTCTTATATTTTTTGAGCATGGAGTAGAGATTCAGTTTCTCTCAGTATTTCATTATATAGCATCATATTTGTATGCCTCTGATTCCAAATTGCTGCTGAATTACAGATATAATTTTGGGGGGGGATGATTTCCCTGAAGGTTGGCCACATTTTCAGGATGAAACAGATTTTTGTTTTTGGGTTTAAAACCTTGGAATTTCAAATAGCAACACCTACTGCACAATTCATTAAAATTTTAATTTATGTGTATGAATAAAAATGACCTCCATTTTCACATTAACATGGCATATTTGAACTGAATGTTAAAACTGTCTTAATACACACTTAGTATGTGCTAATACTGCTTTATTTTTCTAGTGTGAATTTGGCAACTTTGGCTTTGGGTTATGTCTCCTCTTCTGTACTGGTATGTTGTACCACATCTAGAAACCTTATAACACTGTAGACTTTAAGTCATGATCTAATCAAAATGCATATAGTTTATATTCTGCCTATTGTAATAAAATTTAGGCGGCCACAAAATGTGACAGCATGACTCTTACTCTGGGTTCCTGGCTGGGTCTGCCAGCTGTACCTGCAGTGACACTCTACAGACATGAGGATCCTTCTTTGGTACGTTCAGCGTTTCAGTCACCATTCTCAAGATGTTGAGACTTTAGTTGCAATCGCCAGTAATCTGGCAAAAATTGAGTAACTGAAAAATGTTAATCACAGTTGTTTTTTTTTTTTTTTTCCTTTTTTAGTCCTTAGCAGCTGGGCTGACATCAAGTCAGCCTGTAGAAAAACTTCGTGCCCTGCCACTGTGGCTCTCTCTGCAGTACTTAGGCCATGATGGGATTGTGGAGAGGATAAAGCATGCTTCACAGCTAGTAAGCAGCAGCTTGTTAATACATTGATTATGGCCACTTGGCTTCTCTGTGTATGGCCTGAAGAATGTTCCTGATTATCCTCATGGTCTGATTTAACAATCAGCCTCCAAGCAGAAACAAAGTTCAATAAGCAGTACATGTAATGTCCAGACAGCTATCACAGAACACTGTTACACTCAGAAGTGTTTCAATAATAAGATGTTAATACATATTTTTTATCACTGTATTGTAGTGGAATCAGCTAGAACCCTAAACCTAACATATGATTAAGTAATAAAGGAGAATAGCAATGTTCAAGGGAAGGATGTGCTGTTACTTTGTATATTTCATTAGTTTTTATGTGTAAAATTCGTAATCTTTGTTATTCCTAAATTGTAAAACTGTAACCATCTGTCACTCTTCTATATTAAACATTTTGCCTGAAAACTGCTCAGAGAAAGACTTAATTTTCTTTCTCTATTTGGCATGATACCAATTCTTTTCAGTACTTGAAGGGAATGTATAAACAGAATGGGAAACAGCTGTTTATGTGGGCTGATAGTGATAGAACAAGGGGGAATGGTTTTAAACTAAGATGAGAGGTTTAGGTTGGATACTAGGAGGAAGTTTTTCACACAGAGGGTGGCGATACACTGGAATGCCCCATCCCTGGAGGCATTCTGGGCAGCCTGATTGCTGGTTGGCGACCCTGCACACAGCTCGAGGGTTGAAATAAATGATCTTGGAGGTCCTTTTCAACCCAGGTCATGCCATGAATTCAAGTAACAGTAAATTTACAAAGCTGAACAAAAAAGAATCTCAACTCATTTCTTCAAATACAATAGCAACTGCACTGTTTTCAAAGTAAGATCATTACTAAAGTAAAATATATATATGTATCTTAAAAATATATATAGTCCAATACAACATGTGTCAGGAAATGCCTCGTTTATATACAAAACATTTGTAGCTTAAAAGTTTTTAAAGAAACTTAAGATTGAGAGAGGGACTTAAAGGATGTGGAAAGTGGAAAGTTGCTGTAAAGGTTAGTGAAGAAACTACTGGCATGAAAGATCAGAGGGACAAAATATAATTAGTCATTAAATTGTGTTGGGTTTTCTTTGTGTGATTTTTTTTTTTTGTGGCATCTAAGAGTGATCTTAGCTTTTGTACTAGCCTGTTCATAGTCTAAAACCACTGTAAGAATGTCTTTTTTGGTAATGAAAATAATTTAGAAATCTATTATAAACAGATGCTATTGTAGCAAAACAGTTTTCTCACATCTGCATACTGTGCTTTAGTTAGTCAACTGAGTTGTAGTATCCCTAGGATTTTGTCAACGAACACATTAAGATAATGAAAAGCATTTTGTGTTAGCTGTTTTACTAGAGATAGAAAACGTTTTCCTGTTACAACTTAAATTTATAAAGAAGAACTGAATGGATCTCCCACACTTGATTGGCTTTTGTTTGCAAATAGAAATTATGTTGGTGACTATTTAATTTGTCAGAATAATTTTCGTGTTTTGCCCTTATTTTGTTTCCCTTCTGCTGTTCTCTTGTAGAGTCAAAGGTTGCTGGAAAACTTGAAAAACCTGGATTTCATTAAAACTTCGGTACAGTCTGCATTTAATACTTTGGTTGAATAGTCTTGACCTATTAAAAGATACAAACAACTTTTGACTCAAAAGACATTATCTAAAAGTACTATTTATATATACTATATATATACTTTCTATATATACTATATATATAAAATATGTATACTATTATACTATTTATTTTACTATCTAAAAATACTATTTATATATAAGTAGTAATTACTTTAAAGATGTTTGGAATCTTTTTTGATTAAATTCAAATATTCAGTGAAATTATGTAGCTCATTTGTGTGTGACCTCAAGATTGTACTTGTTCCTTCGTAGTAAACGCTTGCACTCAGTGGAGCTGACATCCAGAAATTGTCTCCAGACTTCAATTTGATTTCTGTTTAAAACACCTTTTTTATCTTCTTGGTAATACATTTATGAAACTGATAATAGGTTTAATCATTTTTTTTTTTTAAAGCTCATAGATTCTGACTGCATCTTGCCCATGAGATAATGCTGTAAAACCTGGGAAATTACATGTAAAAGTTATCCTAGCTGACAGTCTTGCAACAGAATTTGTTTTGGAAATTACATCTAATGTACTAATTCCAAATTCAGTTTTTCTGAATGTTCTATTTAACACGCTTTTTTTTTTAGGATCATTCCAAGTGACAATAATCCTTTTATTGCAAAGGTGTTTTTTCTAGGAGTGTTAGTGGCTTTGAGAGTTGAAGTTACTGTGGCACTTGCCCTTTCTGCCTGAATAAACCTTGCATTTGTGGGATTATGCTTTTAGTTGCTTACACAGGTTGCCTAGTGCATCTCTCCTACCCAAAAATGAGAATCAGTTATCTTCTTGTTATTCCTGGTGGAACTTTCTTGATGTCTCGCAATGATTCTGGTGTGATTTTGAAGAAAATTTTCTTTAAATATTAATATCTGAGCATACCTAAAGCTAAATCAACATTCTTTACTAAGATACATTTCTTAGTGAATGTGCGTGGTTCTCCTGCTTTATGATGATCAAAGTTTAGTTGTGCATGTTTTAAGTCATGATTTATTCTCCACTGTCTGTGCTGAAATGCTTACTCGCATTCCTGAAGAGTTAACTTCTATTTCTGAGATAGTATGAACAATGTTACTGCAGTTAGAACAAAATTATTTGCTTTGCTCAGCAGTCTAAAAAATTCTTCACTGGTAAATGTTTAAAAAAATATATTTGAAAATATATTTAGTATTTTATTTTTGTTAAGGTTGAAGATGAACTGAGTTCACCAGTGGTGGTTTTCAAGTTCTTCCAGAAGCATTTAAATAGAGGTACATGACTTGCTGCTGGATTATTTTGTTTGGTGGTGATCTGTGTTTTTACTTCTTTGGGGTTTTTTTAATAGATAAATTATTAGGTAAGTTGTTACTTGGTAGATTATATATAGTGCATTTCTCTTGTCTAAATTATCCTTTAAAAGGTATACCTTTATCTAGTGATAAAACCACACAGCTTTTTTTTTTTTATAGGCTCAGTATTTTCATAGTGAGTAATTTCTACTATCTTGACTGAAATTTGTGCATGATTTTGATCATGAGAGCAGATTGTTAATCATCTCCCATAAACTGCAAGCTGTGTTTGAAGGTACTGATGAAGGAAGATGTTCTACTGGTTTTTGTTGAGGCTTCCCTTTTTCCTTTAAATGTTTAGTGGCTAGTTGCAAGAACTGCATTTTTCTCTTTTACTGCTGTTTTCTGTTGCATAGTTTTAAAAATAACAGAATACCATTAGGAACAGGTCTCTTAAGTACTGTCGTGGGTACAGAAGCCACACTAAACGTAGCTCAGGGCAGAGAACATCCTTGGATGTGCTCTCCCAAAAGAGAATTTTTATGTCCTCTTGGCTACAGCAGAGGATGTTGTGCTGTTTGTGGAGGGTGAGAAGATACCTGGTTGGGTGAGGAACTGACTACTAGAAAACTTTACAGTTTTGCTGTGAGCGTTGATTTTAATACTGTGGATTTTTTTGTGATTCACGTGGGGGAAGGTTTTTGCTTTTCATCTACTTAGTGGCATTACTTGCAAAAGAAACATTCATTTTGGATCAGTAAAATGACTTATTTTTACATTGATGCATTTTGTTTGAACAGCTTTACATAGGCAGAAGTCACCCACCTGAAATATAAGGATGTAAAATGTTTGGCTGCCTTCTCCATATTTTGTGTGTATTATGGGCTTTTAAATTCTTACTATTATGTTTGTATAGTTTAAAACAAAAATAAATTGTTAAAAATGAATTTTAAAATGTTAAAACTAAACCTTACTGTGTGCTATGACAACTGATTTCTAATATTTTTTTTGTTTAATAATTCCTCATTAGTCTGCTTCATGTTCAGTACAGAGTTTAGATGTGTTATGTTACCTAGGAAATGTAATCACCTTTTGTCTAAATTTCAGGTTGTCTTTTTGTTTAGTTAAGAAAATACAAATCCCCTTCTGTAATTCTTGTATTTTTGGATTCAGATCAAACACCACGTGCTGCACAGACCTCAGCTATTCAGCACCGTGTAATAAGTAATGAAGGACACATTTATGACACTTTCAATCAGTGGGTAAGAGATTTTAATTCTTCCGGGGGTTCATCAGTAATAATAAAGCTTTTGGTAGATAAGCTTAGTAATTATTCCTGATCTGATGTCCTTAGCAAAATCAGCTGGACATTTTGGATTATGAAGAAAGATTTGCTCTGAAGCAGTTGTTTTCATGCTTTTTTTTTTTCCTTTATCGTGTAATTCTTACTAATGTTATTACTGCATCTTAAACATTTGGTAGTGTTTTGTTTTGCTTGGGTGAAAATGTGAAAACTTCAGAATTCTTTTTAGTTGGCAAAGTACTCCATTGACAGTGCTTGTTTAGTTGTGAGCAGACAGGCTTTTTTTCCTAGCTTTTAGAATTTTGGGGGGGAAACCTGTGCTCACAGAGCTGAGCACATAACTATTCTAGAACAATTACATAATGATCATGGCATACTCAACGATTTTGCAGAAGTTTCAGACTTACAGCTTATGCTGAGTTTTCATCATTTTAAGTATATGTCCAATTTATCTGTTTTTACTGGCAAGGTGAATTTTTTTGTTGTTTTTTTTCTTTTTGTTTTTTACCAGCAGTGATTTTAACAAATACAGAAAACTGTTTAGCAAGTAGTTCTCCTGTGCAAAGTCGGTGACTGTGAGGTCGTATCTGTACATTCCTTTAACTGTATCTCACCTCTTCAGCTAGGAGAGCAGTTGGCACAGCTCGTTCCTGCCAGTGGGATTGATGTGGTAGAATTGGAAGATGAAGGCACATGTGTGCGTTTCAGCCCATTAATGACTTCTGCAGGTAACATTCACATTACTCAGCCAGTTGTAAACACTGGAGTTTGCTATAAAATTGTACGTCAGTCTCCTGGTATAAAATCAGATACATTCAAGAAACTTTACAGTATTGTCCAATTATGAGGATTATTTATATTTTCAATAAAGTATACTGGCTTTATCATTTCAGGTGTGCCTCTGTAGTGGGTGCATTAGACATGGCTCAAATACTGTACGTGTCCTCACTACGTCTGCAAAGACAGATTTTTATGAATTACATTTGTAAACTTGTTAGGAAAAGCAAGGGAGATACACACTTTGTTTCTGAGAGTCATACAAGAAATACAAAGGATAAATCATCCCAGCCTTTCCTTCTCACAGCTGTAAGGAAAAAGATGCTTGATGTTTCTACACAGGTGATTCTGCACTGAAGTGGTGCTTGTGTTCAAAATACAACTAAGTAGACTACATATTTTCTAAACCTCTAGATTATTTTTTGTAATTACTGATGTCAGAGAAACAAATCTGTGTTTTGGAAACTGCTGAGAATTTGCTTAAGGTAGCACCAAATACATAGTTTGTTTAGACTTAGCAGCTGCATAGAGTAACATAAAAGAGAGCATCAGGATCAGATGATGAACAGTAGCTGCTTCTAGCTTTTGTAGGATGGTTTAGGCTATCAGAAAGCATGACGTTGATGTGAGAGGATCCGTAATGTACACAGGGAAACTAGATCTGTAGAATAAAATTGCTTGATGATGCTGAGATTTTTACAGTTTTAAAAGCAAACTACAGGAACTAATTTGTTATCTGTTTAGCTATGTTAAAAGGATTTTTTTCTGATGGAGGCTACTGTAATGTAATGATGTAATGAAAAAATGTATTGTCCTTTTTAGTTTGTAACATCAGTAATTTTTCTTACTATCTCATTGTTGTGAAATCCTTAGCTCAGATTGTTTCGATTTAACAGTGCATAGATAAATGAAGAAAAGACTTCGGTACATACAGATCAAGGTATCTCAGTACTATCTGAAAATTATGATTGACTTACAGTGGCTTATTTACAGATTATTTAATTCAGACATCTGTGCGTGTCCATTCACTTTCACTGCATGCTAATACCACAGGCTCTTTAGTTTTAGGAACTGAAATACAAGATGTTGATCAGTTAGTAGACTGCTTAAAAATGAAGATACCAGTATTGACAAGTACACTGCAACTGAGAGAGGAGTTTGAGCAAGAAGTGAGAAGAACAGTAGGCCTGTTGTATATTGAAGATCTCAGCTGGCCAGGATTAGGTATTGTAAGGTATATCTCTCAGTATTTTCTTCCTTATGGGTGGATAGGCAGCGCACTATTGGAAAGGAAGGAATAAAGTATATCTCTGGTAGTGATTTGGATGTGTGTCGCTTGCGATTATCTGGCTTTGCCCCCACTGAAGTGTTTGCATGTTTTGTTTTCAATTAAACAAGTTTTTTATATTGTTTATTTTAAGAAAAGGTGAATTGCTTTTTAAGCAAATTATAGAAGTATTTTTAATATGGGAGGCAGCATGTTGGTCTGTTAAGCAAGAATGTAATGTGCAATGCTGCTTAATTATACTAAGCATAATATACATTCATATTCTTCACTTCCATAGTGAATAGAGCCCTTTGAGTGTCATTCCAGTCATCTGATACAGTCTACCGGGAAGGATTCTGTAAAATCAAAACACTGGAAGTAATCAATATGTTACCTAGAAATCTGTTGTATTTGATTAAGTTTGCATTGGACAGCCTTCCCCTTGCTCCCAACCCTTAATCTCATAATATGTAAAGTTGCTTTCAGCTTCTGGTTTGTAAAATACAGAATTTTGTAGAAGCAAGCTAGATCAGTGGGGTTTGTTTATGTACTCTAAAGTGAAATTACTATCTCTTGGCTTGATTTGAAGATACAACTATCACAGTGATGGGAAGAATGATGACAATCAAGAAAAAGAATTGGAAAAAATTAACACAGAACTTCTGAAAAAATTAAATGAGCTGGAGTCGGATCTCACTTTTTCTCTGGGTAACTGCACTTAAAAAAAAAAATAAAAAAATCACTATCAGCTTCAACGCAAGATGTCTTCCTGGCTGCATTATGATCTTGCAGCAGGTCACATGTACATAGTTCATTAAAATGCAAAATTACACTGCTGTATATGTAGTTAATTTATAACCAACATCTGTAACTGTTCCCCTCGCTCCCTATTTCAGTCGATAAATGTTCAGCAGAGCTTGAGCAAGTTGCACTGTTTTAACCAAAATATGTGAAAACCAACCTATGAGCAACTAGACCTAAAAACGGTTTCTTGCCAGAAAGAATGAAAACTGCAGGTGCACCTCTCTGTAAACTTAAGGCTGTCAAGGAATTTTGTATCTAGTGAAACGCAGTGTAACCTGTTGCAGATATTGCACTTAATTACTGAAGTGGGCATGCATTGTATGCATTTATAAGGCTTTCTAGATTTGTAAGTATGGGCATAGAATGTATTGTGGTAACACTTCTCAATATATTACCAACACTTGATTCTCCCAATGCTCACAGGCCCAGAATTTGGAGGACAGAAGAACTGCATTTATATTGGCATGGTAACTGAGGATCTGGATGTGTTGGAGTTAGTTGAAACTATTGCAGCAACAGGCAGAGAAATTGAAGAAAATTCAAGAGTATGTGTTAATAAATCAAAGAGCATTTCAGCATCTTTTGTTTTTCTGTACTACCCTCAAGGCAGTTTGTGGTGTTTGGTTTTTGGTGGTTGGCTGGGTTTTTTTTTTTTTTTTTTGTGTGTGTGTGTGTGTGTGTGTGTGTGCGCGCGCATGTTATTTGGTTTTGTTTGTTTGTTTTCAAAACTGTTGTTCAACCCCCTTCTGCAAACAATATATCCCCCTGTTACACTGGGTTGGTTTAGCTTGCTGTGATGACCAAATCATCTTTTCAGTTTTTCATTTTGTTTTTATTAGCATGCAGTCACAAACTGTTGGCATTTTGGAGGAAGTGCCTGTCACCAAGGACTCTGATGTTAAAGCTCATATTATATTAGGCAAATTGGCATTTGTCTTGCACATAACAAAACTGTATCTTTGTTTTTTCATCTTTTGTTTCCCCAGTAAGCTGTTAGGCCTTTGCAGTATCAAATGTGACTTCTGCCTTCTGGGTGTATATATATAGTTTTAAAAATCCTATGGTTGGTCTGTATGGCTTTTAATTTACAGTAGTAATGAAAGAGTTCTCATAAAATGCAGAATTAGAAAAAAAAAATCTGACTGTCAGTTTACATCCTCAAAGCCTGAATTAAAAATATAATTTCAAATACACATAATATACGTAAGGATGATGTAATTTCTGTTTTCATTAGTTGTTGGAGAACATGACTGAAGTTGTTAGAAAAGGGATACAGGAAGCACAACTTCAGCTTCAGAAAGCAAATGAAGAACGACTTCTTGAAGAGGTAAGGTTATGAAGTTATGTAACAGCTTGTCATGATGTAGTTCCCTGGCTCACTGGTCTTTAATTGTGGACTTCACAGGGGCTGCTACGACAAATACCCGTAGTAGGTTCTGTGCTGAACTGGTTTTCTCCATTCCAAGCCTCACCAAAAGGAAGAACATTTAATCTAACAGCAGGTAGGACTCCGTGCATCTGCAGCCATGTTATGCTGTGTTCTAAATGTTTCCAATTTTATACTGAAATAGCAACACTTTCTTGTGCTAATTGAGTGATATAACGCACCCTTGGGATGTAAAGGAACAACATGTTCTTCACTATTTCTGTAACACTTTGATGAGAAAATCTCATCCCTTATATAGTTTACGTCTTGTTCTTGTATATTGTATCATGCTAAAAAAAAAAGCTCTATTAGATACTGGCAAAAAAAAAAAAAAAAAAAAAAGAGGAACAATTGCTGGCCAGACATGCTATGGAAGTGCCTATTCTTGCAACAAATGCTACATGTATAAATAGATGAGCTAGTGGGGAAGACTTTCTGCTGCACTTGGAATCTTATTCTCAATACATTGTCTTCAAGGTCCTTAGTGAAGAGAACAGTAAGGCTTCCTTGGGAATGCTTATACCATTTATAACTAGATATGTTTTCAAAGTGCAGTGATTGATGGCTTGCAGCTGGGGATGTGTCAAGCCTCAAAGGAAAGGGAAAACTGAGTACTGGGTGTCTACCATTGTTGCAAAGTGAGTGTGAGGGGAACTTTATTCATCTTTTTGAGACTCAGCAACTCTGTCCCCAGTTACTCAGAAATCAGCTACAGTTGAGTGGCAGTTTCAGATTAACTGCAGACAGGCAGTTTCAGAAACCTGCACTAAAAACAAGATTGTTACATATATATATACATATACATATATATATATATATAAAAGTTTAATATATAATAATATATTAAATTATATATATATTATTTTTTTAAAAAAACTATATATATATAAAAACTGACGAAAAGAGAACTTGTCTATATTCAACTTGCAGCTTGCTACTTCCTTTTGACTTGCAGGTTCACTAGAATCCACAGAATCTACATATGTATCAAAAGCCCAAGGTACAGGTACTACTCCACCACCAACTCCAACTTCCAGCCTCACAAAGCAAAGACATTCTGGTAAGTTTCTACTTTGTGATTTTATTCTAAAACTTGTTGAAACACCCTGGCCTCAGCACACATCTGACTTGAGTGACGCTAGAGGACCTGCATGATTTTCCTTTCTGTTATAATACCTGGAATTAGATCTTAAGTCCTCCCTAAATAATGTAGTTTAAACATAGCACAAAATACTACCACAGTAAATTTTCTAAGACATTCTTCTAGGAATGTAAGATTTTTTTATCCCCCCCAAAGTGTGTGTGAAGTCTTGGGTCCTTCTCTGGTATAGTTGGTGGCAGCCCTGCCTATCTTAGGAGGTTGGAACCAGGTGATCTTTAAGATCCCTTTCAACCCAAGTCATTCTATGAGTACTGAAGGTGAGTTTAAAAAAAATAAATAAAAAATAGTAGGTTTAGTAATTGTGTTTGAAGTTAAAGTGTAAGTAATATGTTATTGTGTATTTGAGCACCTGTCTGTTACTACCTAATACTGTGTTGACAAAGCCATTCTAGAGTGAATAACTATTAAATGCATGGCATTTTCCTTTTAGATATATTAGTAATTAATGTAGATTTGACTCTCAGGGAAGCCATAGTTCTACACCCCTCTTGAACTTCTGGCTGGCTTCTAGCCTGTGATTTTCAGTGAAACTCTACACCTTACAATGACTTTGGAATGGGTTTCTCAGCTGAATTTTAACAATTCTCTGTGTACACAGGATAAAATAACTGGTGCTTGTTGCCTTGCATATGTACGTGTAAGTGGAAGGAAGTATTTATATGGTTAGGGTACAGATTAGCACCTGAATAAAATCTATTTCTTTGTAGTTGTAAAATTCAGACGCTTTCTTTGAAACTTGCCTTCTGTGTACTACACTTCACATTTGATGGCATCACTGGTACTGTACTCTTCAAACACTTTACAGGTCAGAAAATTTTTAAAAGGGGTCTCAGAAATTCTGATGCATTTAATGAGACCAGTTCAGTTGGCCACTGTGATGATCTGGAAAAGCTGGCTCAGAGTCCTGCAACTCTATCACCTGGCCAAGAGCAGAGACCACTGGAGACATTAAAAACAGAGCTGCCCAAGGAGGTGCTACAGGCAACAAATAAAGATACCGAGGACATTCAAAGCAGCAAATCACCAAATGACTGCACAAATGTAGAACAAGGAAATCAAAGATAAAAACCAGACTCTGGATTTAAGACTGTCTGCATAAATCACATGCCTCAAAGGGCAGGATATTTTAATGATGCATTTAAAATGTGAACAATGCCACACACTAATACAGTAATATAAGTACTGTAACTTACTAACTGGGATTTTGCACACATAGAAATTTTCCCCAAGCAGGAAAGACTTGTCTTTGTGTACACTTAGTACAGTTGCTTTAATCCTGTACATGTTGGTGTCAACAAAGTTGCAGTGAGATTTATTAACTGCCTGCTTGTAAACATTTGTCAAGAAAATAGGCAGTTACAGTTCCAATAAGATTTCAGGCTTGACAGTAGATACTGACTCAGCAGCCATGTATAAGATTAAGAATACAGCTGCACCCAACAACTGTAAATTGATCTTATGTGTATATTTTTAAGAAACTGCTTTTTTTAAAACATTTTTATATTAAATATTCAGTTTAACCTCTTCAGTAAAACAGCCTAGTCATGCCAGTTCTACTTTTGCTTTTTTTTTCTTTCAGCACTTTTGTGAAGAACATTGCCAAGCAGCAGTGGTGCAGTCAGTGTTAGGGATGGGTGCCTGTGTGTATATATAGCAGTCACTGATTTGTACTTTGTCATCACCTATTTTTTTTCTGTTCAGGTGAGGCCCTGAGTATAAGAGGACTAAAGTAAGTTACTGAGTTTTAAGCGGTTCAGAAAGAAATAGTGCCTCTGCATGCCTAAATGGCCTCTTGCTTCTACTACTAAAAAGAATCACCAATACATTTTTTTCCTTTGCATGGCACTGGTAACACATGTAGTATCATTAACTGGACTTTCCTTGTTATGTATTTTTAAAGGTAGTTAGAGCAAAGCATAAAAAAAAAAACCCACTAGATTTGTGCTGATTTCAACACTTACTTTTGAATAACTTCAACTTTCCTAGGGCAGGAGTTGTACAGATTCAATGAAAATATATAGTTTATTTACTCTACAGTGCAAGTTCATAGTGTCCAGGACTATGTAAGGCACAAGTTAAGCTTTGGATACATCAAAGGCTACAGTGTACAGATCTTCCCCCCCTGCCCTCACATGATTTAGTGCAGTTGCTTTTCTGGAAGTTTCCAGAGCCCCTTGTGGAAGCAACATCTTTTGGAAAGCTTGCTCTGCAACAAGGTTTTTGGAGAAAATCTTTCAATCCCTACAGAGCTAGACACACAAGTACTATAGTTTGCTTTGGTTTTTTTTTTTGCAAAGGGTGTCAATTTAATGGCTATAATGGGGGTAGGATTAACTTTGATCTGAAAAATGAAGGGTTTTTTTTTGTTTTTTTTTTTTAATAGTAACGTCACCTCATTTGACTTTCAGCATCAAAATCCCGTGGGTAGGTTTTGCTCTTGCAGTAACTTATGTAAATTAGAGTGCAATTTTTCTGAAGTGCAAAAACAGTTAAGTTGACTAGTCTTCCTCAGCGATTTCTTTGGTGCAATGAATAAGTTAACAAGAGTAATTTGTGGGGAATAAAGTTATCACCACAATGATTATTTTCTAATGTTTTTATATTTGGAATTGTTAAACCAGTAGTTTTGGTGGAATGAGCTTCATTCTTCAGCTCTTCTTTGATTGTTTCAATAAAGAATCTTCAAATTATTAGTCTTAAGATATATTTTTGAATGAAGTTCCTGTAGAAGCTGCGGTAGACTTTAAGCATAAACAACTTTCTTTCACTTTACATAGAAAAAGAGTTTCTCAACTCCATGTTCATATGGTGACTTCTAGCCTCTAGGTTGCAACATTGCCATCTGTCTGTATTATAGCAGTCTGATCAGCACAGATAAGCATTGAAACAAAAAACAATTACTTCAAAGTAACTGAGGTTCCTACTTAAGTAATGCAGAAGAAACGTTACTTCTGTTGAAATATTTTATTTGAAAAGCATAGGAATCCTACTATCCATGACCCGCACCACGCTTTTACAACAACTTGCTGTTCTTCTGGTACTGCTATGCTTCCCTAAAGTAGCTGAAGTTGGGTTCCACGTTAGGCCTTGTCAGAACAAACCAGTTCCCACAACCCTTCTTCATTTTTTTTGTATATGCGAGGTTTTCTATCAGGAAACAGGGAATGAGATGGAAATGGATGTGCTTTTAAAAATGTTAAAGTAGAACGAATGTGGGAAACAAAGTGGGGTGGCTCAGCCAAAGGCGATGTGGAAAGATTCTGAAAAACAAGATGACAGCAAGAGTTGCTTGAAATTCAGAATACAAAAGCTCTCAATTACTCTCCCTTCTAATACAATTATTTTTCCCCCTCCCCTACTATAGGCAGAGGAGAGCTTTGACAGGCCCTACCCCTTCTGTTCTCAGCTAAAGCGTACCTGTAGAATCTGTTGATCATCTTGTTCTAACCAGAAATCCACATGTGGGAAAGGCCTCCAGAAATAAGGTCCAATGTGTAGTTGTTCAGTCTTTGCATCATAAATGTTTGTCAGCTGCAGTAACACAGAACTGTTTACAGGGAGCCTTAGAAGTTAGACAGCACTTAAACAAATGAAAGAGACAAAGAAATGCTTTAAGCTGGAAAGCATTTGTACTGCTGTAATGCTATAATGTGATGGAAAGTACAGCAATAATAGTGGAGCAGCAAAATCCTAGGCTTCAGCATATGAGAACAAGCACAAATGCTGCAGCAGCAGGTGAAGAAACAAGGGAAGAAAACTGCTTACCTTTGGAATGCCTCAGGTACAACAGGAATCTCCAGATAGATGCCTCTGCCTCCACTGCCAGCCTTACATGAGGGCTGGAAAGGGAGTGGATCCTGGTTCCACCCTTCCATCATTCAGTGCATTGCATTGCATGCACTTGAGCTCCCTGGGCTACCCTGCCTTCCTACCAGGTGCTCCATCACTGCTTCAAGCCATGACTCAGCATTTCCACTACAGCTACCAACCTGTTTGGCTTTTTTTCCCCTATATTACGATAACTCATTGCCCCTAAGTGGTCTTACTTTCTAGCAATGATACCTGATTTGGAATTTCATTGCCCACTTTTATTTATACTCACTCTTGCTCCTGTTAAAACATGGGCTGAACGCAAATCCTCATCTGGCCCTTTTTCTGGAAAAGTTGCAGGGAAAATCTCTGCTGTTTTTACATTCACAGCTGGTGAGAAATAGAGTTTAAACTTAAGACACAATTTTAATTCTTACCAAACATTGCTTAAAACAACTACCTCCACAACACTGCTATTGTAGCAGGAATTTTAGAAGCTGCCAATTACTATTCTCTTTGCCCCAGGCCCCATTATCTTAGAACATCTATTTTCTGCCACACCTCCAACAGCACTCTACAACAGGCATTATGTAAACATTAAAGGCAGTGCATTTACTACTAGAATCTGAAAAGATATCCAGTTACCAAAAAAAACCCAAACAATTCTATTTTAACTCACCTATTCCGTAAATGATTGGCAAATGAATATCCTTCTCTTCTCTGTCATTGAGTTCTGTAAGAAAGAAAGGTCAAATGTGTAGGGCACCAGACTTTTTTCTGTACAGAATTCACTCAGTTGTGCATTACCAGAGAAGAACTGAGCTAACAGTGCTTAAAAAGACTGAAGGAAAAACAAATGAACAAAATCAACACAGGACAAAGCCTAAAATGAATATGGAAAAGGTGATAAGGTCAACATTAACATGTTGGGGCCTACAGGAGAACTCTCGTATCACTAGGTCCAGCTCTAGTCATTCCATTTTCTGCGCAAGCCAAAATCAGCTTAAAAGTCCCAGGAAAAAAAAGTAAAACTGCTGTGATGTCAATTTTCAAAAATGCAAGTCACCAGTAACATTTAAATACAAAGGTTATATACGACTTGAATACAATACAAAGAAAAGGAAATAATTATTTATGTGACATCACATGTTACAAATTAACTGGAGGAGTCTATAAACAGTCTAACAACCTCAAAGGTCATTAAGTTCCTTTCTCAGTTGCCTCTCTAAATACTCAAAGCTATACAAAGGCAGGAAATGGCCTGGTAACATTCACAGGTCCTCCCCAGTCTTAACTGAGGGCATCTTTGCTGAGCAGGCTGTCTGACATTAACACACTGTAAATAATAAAATTTAAACATACAAGTCAAGTGGGAGGATGCGTACCATTATTACAGGACAGATTTAAAAAGGCTATGGATGGAAATAGCTGTACTTCGATTTCAGTAGCTAAAATTTCTTCAAAAATAAAACAAAAAAAACACAAGAAGACATTTTCTTACCTGATACACAGAAAGTCACTAAATGAACATCATCTGGTTGGAGATCAAACGCTCCTACAGCAAAAACAATAGCAGCAATATATAAGACTGACTGGTGGCAAAGCAGGTGCTGAATATAGACAGGGGGATTATCAGTGCTGCACACTGCAGAATAGATGGGCAGAAGGGACTTAATACAGTGTTCATAGATAACACAACAGAACAAAGAGTGTTTTTCAGGTTTGCATCAAACCAACTTTTAGAAAAAGCCACAGCTCCTAAACATACCAGTAATTTACAGAGAGTAGCCATTAAAGATGTCAAAAGCATGTTAAGAAGTTGTGCCACTTGCTCCTTTTACTGACATTGTTTAAAGTAGCTCTGGCATCACATCAACTCTGCTTTAGTTAATTGCACATATTTAAGTACTTTCCTAAATTGTTATATATATATTGAGCAAAGCCAGCCTTTCATTGTATGTACTTCAATTCTCCTTTTCCCCCTCCCACACTTTTTTTTTTCCCCCTGAAAAGTTCACCTTTTTTCCCATAGTTCTAATAGAAATATAATGTTTTAAATTGTAACTGGATACATGAAAACCATGAAGCTGAAAAAATACGTTAACCAAAACATTTTGTGCTGAGCTCTCATGCAATATGTACCATACGTAACAGGAATCGCATCATAACATGTGAGAGGGCAAGAGGGGCACATCCCACAGGACATTTGCCAGACCAAATTCCTCGTCCCATAGCCACCTCCCTCAATACATGCCCGTCTCTTCCAAACTCCAGTGAGCTCAATGCCTCTCTACGTTTGGGAAGTGCTTAGCATAAGCCAGGGCACTTGAAACGTCTAAGTTGGTACTTCATGTTTCCCAATTTGTTTGTAAAGTACCATAACCATTTCTCTGTACAGATTTCATGAACAGAAATAACATCTTTCATCAGGCAATTGCAAACAAATTAAGATTTACCTCATCACATTAAAGTGAAAAAGGAATAGTAACTGATCAAGACATCCCCATGTACTGATTTGGACAGGTGACAACACCTGGGCAAGATCACACATCAGCTTGTCAGCAGCAGAGCTAGGAATTAGGTCCAGCTGAACAGCACTCCCATTCTACCCCCTGCAATGCATGTCAGGAACAAATGACAATTCCCTGCTCCACACCTGGCCACAGGCAAGCCTCAGAAGTCCAACCCCTCCTCTTCAGCAAGTTTGCAAGTAGAGAAAACACCCTCCAAAATTAATCCCCACTTGTTCCTATTAAATGATGGTGCTCAGATTACAAGCAGATTTTACCCAAATCCAGTCAGAACTATTTTTTTTCTACATGAGAGTGGAAAAAATGTGAACTTACTAAGAAGCTGATTAGTAAGTTTTTGTGATAACTGCCTATCATCATTGAAACCTCCAACTAGGTGCACTTCCAGCCTAACAGAGATGGAATAACAGGAAACAGCAGTTAAGATGACATCCCAAAGTGAATACCTTTACAAAATAATCTCCAGTCCAAACTACAATGCAATCATTAGAGGAGTCTCACTTGTTAATGGTTGTATGTGTAGCAAACTGTGGTTGGTAATTTTTTTTTGAACACTTAGGAATCATTCAAGAAACAGCACAATATTTAAAAAAAAAAAAAACAACGCCTCAGCAAGCATTACACACATGCAATTCTATCGAAACCCAAGGTATCTGTGATGGTCAGCGCCTCAGTTTTGGACATAACTCAGTAACTACCTCTCAGTTCCCAAAAAACAGTGAGCTGAATGTGAAGGAGTTTACTCCCATGGTCTCCAGAACTACTCTAGGCCATACAGCAGCATTCTTCTCCCAGAAATGTCTATATAAAGACAGGCGTTGTTTGTGAGCTTTTTTGACCAAACAAAAAACAACAACAAAGACAACTAGTGACCATTTTTGGGTTTTGGGTGCAAGGTCTCAGAAACAATAAAAAAGTGAGAGGAAGCATCATCAATCACCTAGCAAGGCCAACATTCATCTTTCAAAACTGGGCAAGGTAGATCATGAGTTCTAGAGACCACATTTTCCAAGTCCATGGAGTTTTTGTTCTTATCAAACTACACAGGCAAAAAATCTCCACACTAAAGAAAAGCCTTGCTAGCCAAAATCTATCTCAGAATTTGTTGTTGTTGTTGTTGTTGTTGTTGTTGTTGTTTTTTTCCCCAGTATGGGTCCTTGAAAAATCCCAGACAGATTCTCAGATCCAAAAGGAATTCACAAGACCAACATTTCTCATGGAAAAACAGAACAACTAAAAACAGTTATTTGGAAAGTTTAGTACATCTGAAATAAAAGTTACTGAGAAACAGTAAACACCAAACCACTCAATGGCATTTTTATAAAGCCACTATTCAGAATAGAACTATGCTTTAGATCACTGATAGAAAATACCCACAACAACATCATCAATAAATCAATAAAATAGTTATCATTTTCCATACAGCCCCTTACAGAAATATTTCTTGCACGGTTACCTTGTCTGAACCCCATAAAATCAGATAACAGTTCCACAACTTACAAACTGCAGCTACTCTTGTGAAAAACAGCATGTAACAATTAACAAAGCAAAGCTGACCTTCCATAACCTGTGGTGTTAGAGAAAGATTTTACTGAACTCATGATGAGCGACACCTCCGCTTCTGTGTCTGATCCATCACAGTGTGTCAAGCATGTGGCTCCGCTGCCTGAGGAAGATGTGAGAAGACAGTGACACTGGTGGACATTGTTCACTACCATAATTCAGGTCAACAACAGTCTGCACTATTACTGAATGCAAGAACTACGCCCCATCTACTCATTTCTATTAGTTCAGTAGCCTCTAGCATAAGAGATGGGCTGATGGGCTGACTGTATGAGACAATAACCTCTATGTACGCCCCATTATAAAAATCAGCTGGACAATGACTGGTGCAAACACCTTCCCAGTAAGGACCAAGAAACACCCTTGCTATCAGAAATACAGGAAGCCTTTCCCATAAATTCTACATGTTGTTGTTGTTATTGCCAAACTCTGCTCATCCAGCTGGCTGAACTCTCTGGCATTCACACCCAGCCTGTGAGACGCTGCAAAAGTGGCCACTAAAGCAGATCAAGTTTACGATTTGCTCATTTAGCAAAGTGAACATGGAACTGGTACTGAATACACAAACTCTCTGAATTTATCACAGTTAAAGCACCTTGTAACTTTTTGAGACGTCAGTTTATATAAATGAAATTGCAGCTTATTTCATTAATGCAGTATAAACCAGTGATGATCTGAGCTGTACTAACTCAGAGGTACAGGCTGTGTGCAGAACACCCATTAAGATACCTGTGTGTCGGAGCACAATTAAGTGGCAGGTAGTTGCATCATCCGACCCAAGAATAGACACAGAACCTATTTTAAAGGAGAGAGATTGTGTATGAACTTTGCTGTCGTAATAATTGCTTTAGCAGAAGTGCTTACACTTGTACATACCATCATTAGGGGTGGTCACTGCAAACTCTCTCTGCTGGACATACAGAAGCCCTTTGGGTTCCACAATTTGAGTAGGCTGACTTCTTAGAAGTTTTGCCTTTTCCTAAAGATAAATGATAATAAAGACTACAGAGGCTGAATTCTCAGCCACTTGATAGAAACATCACCTCCAAAAAGCAAAGGTACCCAGGTTAGCAGCAAACATGGCATATTTTGTATTTTGGAGGATTCTGAATTTCTAGTTTTTCATCTTCCTGCCACACATTGGCTAGCTGTTAAATCCCATCATTCCCCACACAGAAAATACTCTTTCCCTGCTTTATAGAAGGTAAATGGAGGAACAACAGGACAGGGCCAAGCTGACATCAGACAATGCCACAGCAGATCTTGCAATTTTACACAGCACAAAATCATACACTCGTTAAGGTTGGAAAAGGTCTCTAAGATCATCCAGTCCAACAGTCCACCTACCACTAGCCACTAAACCATGTCTCTAAGCACCACATCTACATATTTCTTGAACACCATCTGGGACAGTGACTCCCCAGTCTCCACGAGCAGCCCGTTCCCCTAACCAACCACCCTCTCAGGGAATTCTGACCTGACATCCAAAGTGAACCTTCCTGGTGCAACTTCAGGCCATTCCCTCTCATCCTATCACTACCTGCCAGAAAATTTCCTTCTTCTCCAAAACGTGAAACTTTCAGCTTTTCATGGCCACAATCCAATATACTTATTAATTACTAGCAAATTGTAGCAATTAATCATCATGCTTAACCGATGGAAAACTGACTTCCTGGGCTCTGACTGCACTGCTGGCTAGCTACTGTGCACATTTCTACACTAGAGCCGAAAAAAAACCAAAACTATTTCACTCAGTTTTTATCAAATCTGCACTAATTTTTATTTTTATTTTTTAAATTTCCCCCCCCCCTCTACAAGAACTCAGTTTCCACAAAACGGCACTTTCTTATGAAAAACAGCTCTCCAACCAGCTCTGTTAGGCAGTTCCTAACCCACGAGCTGCCGTTCTGATTAAAACGTTTACTGTATTAGAACTAAGTTAACACCTCTCCGATACCGCGATCCCGACGTCCATCCCTAGCCGCCGGTTCACCCCGCGGTTCCTTGACCCGAGGGCACCGACCGCCCCCGCCGCTCCACGCCAAGTTCTCACCGCAGGGCAGCTACTGCCTCCACGATGCGGACACGCTTCCCTTCAGCCACCTCGCGCCTCTTTCACGGGCCGGGGCCGCGCATAGCCGCCCCAGACCTGCTACCTCCGCAGGCCCGCCCAGAGCCGCCGCAGCGCTCACGTCGCTGTCGGGCCGGCCCGCCCTAAGGCGGCCCTCAGCGAGGCGGCCTCGGGGCAAGAGCGGGCAGACCCCGCGGCGAGGGCTCGGCCACCTGCTCACCTCCAGGTGCGGGTGGGTGCGGATCACGCCTCCCGTGAGCCGAGTCAGATCAATCCGCTCCCCGTTAATCAGCAGTGGCATCGCGGAGAACGCCCAGGGCGGGAGGCGGCCGCTCCGCGCTTCCTCCCCTGGGCCGCGCTGGGCCAAGTCGGGCGCCGCCGCGCGGAGCGCTGGGAAACCGCGGCAGAAGCCGCTGAGGGCGGGGCGGCGGCAGTAAGCGGCGGTCTGCGCTCGTTCCCGGCAGCAGCGGGCCGCTCATGGTGCTTCTACGGCTCTTAACGCTCTGTAACCCCCTCCTCCTTCCCTTGCATAATTATTCAGGAACTGTAAGAAACTGTTGGAAATGTCTACCAGCAGCTCTCCAATTTACAAATAAACCGCCCCCCAGCTCTATGAAGCCTTCACCCAAAACAATTCCAAGTGGGAGAGGACAGCCAGAGCAAAGGGGACTCTCAACAGAGTGAGGAAAACAGACCACAAAGTTACAGCAGATACTTTCTTCAAAAGATGCTTCATATTTCACAGGGAACCTCACCAGGTTCAAATCTCTGCAAAATCTCCACCTCTGAAGCAGCACTACTCTGAATTCGAGCAGCACTTACAGAACAGTCCATGCAGCAAATTGCCAGGACCTTCTAGCACTGCTGGTTGCAGCCATGCTAAGGCTAGCAACTCAGAAGAGTCAAGGAAACACTAAGGAGCTCCTGCCTGATTTTTTGTTTTATTTTTTTTTAAACAAGTCCCTTCAGCATACTAAAGTTGACTCTGCCCCTCAGAACAGACATGCCTGCACATTTTTAATGTTACACCTCGTGTCAAAAATCTTTTCCCCTTCCTCCCCCTCTCCCACCCAGTTTTAATATGACATGGAAGCTCCTGCATCACATACCTGATGCTACATCTTGTCAAGTTTTATAGAGCCTCATTTTGTAAGTGACTGTGTTGCTGAGGACACAAAAGCGAAAGAGCAGAAAAACGCAGCTTCCAGAAAGCATTTTCTTTGCCACGGTTGTGAGAAGGGTACTTCTGTGCCAGGAGAGAGACAACTATTTCAGATGGAAATTACTGTTCAGTGCACAAGAACAACAGTAAAGAGAACTAAAATTAAAAACAAAAGCTAAGTTTCAATTTATACAGTGATTAACAGATCCCACTAACAAATTTTGCAGTATCATCCCTGAAACTACTTTTCAGTCTGCTAGAATTAACATTCTACCTCTGAAGAATATATTCTCCAGAGAATATACTATAGAGAGATCCTCAGTTACACACAAAGCGCAGAATTGGCACTCTTTGCATCAGTCTTTATTGGCTGTGAATAAATGCACTGTCTTGAAAGCCTACAAGCTCAGACTAAAAAAGGGCAGATTAACTGTGTCCCACATGCATTAAATTTTCAACTATATGTTACACAAATAACATTTTTTGCACTGTTTAGAATCAAGAAAGAAAATAATAATAGTGAAAAAATGAAAAATCTACAGAGAAACTCTTTACTGACATACAAACAATACAATAATAGCAGACATCAATTCCTTTTCACAAGGGATGTGGGGTTTGTTTGTTTATATTTTCAGCATTCACACAGAAGTTCAAATCCTGAAAATAAATACCTTTTCAGAGTGCTTCACAAGCACCTCAAATAAAACTATCTACAAATCATACTTTCAGCTACTCATTTTCAACACTTCCAACAATCACCACTTCACGTATCAGAACTTTCATAGCTGGAAAAGCTGTGTGTCATCCACACGTTTAAGCAGCAATAACGCTTACCATCTGAATACACTCACCACTACCAAGGGCGTTTATTAAGCACTGTTCTCCAGATAGGACAAGCTCAGAGATGTGTGCAGCAGAACCACTGTCAGAGGGGTTTCCCTATCATGAGATCACAGCATTACTTGAAACCAACTAAAAAAGGTCATCAGGGAACAGTTCACCGGTCATGCTTGACCCATCTGGTAGACTTCTATGAGTGGAGTGATGGAGCATCAATGGACAAGGGAAAAGTGACCAATGTAATTTACCTGGACTTGAGCAAGGCCTTTGACACGGTCCCTCACCACATCCTTATCTCCAAATTGGACCACTCGATGGATAAGAAACTGGTTGAAAGGCCGCAGACAAAGGGTGGTAATCAATGGCTCTAAGTCCAGGTGGAGGCTGGTAACGAGCGGCATCCCCCAGGGGTCTGTCTTGGGACCAGTGTTCTTCAACATCTTTATCAATGACATCGATGACAGAATCGAGTGCACCCTCAGCAAATCTGCTGACAACACCAAGCTGAGTGATGCGGTTGACACTGCAGAAGGAAGGGATGCCATTCAGAGGGACCTCAAGAGGCTGGAAAGGTGGGCCCGGGTAAACATGACGAGGTTCAACACAGCAAAGTGCAGAGTTTTGCACTTGGGCCGGAGGAATCCCAGGCATCCATACAGACTGGAAGGAGCGGTCCTTGAGAGCAGCCCTGTGGAGAGGGACCTGGGGATCTTGATAGATGAAAAACTTAACATGAACCAGCAGTGTGCCTTTGCAGCTCAGAAAGCAAATGGTATCCTGGGCTCCATCAAAAGAGGGGTAGCCAGCAGGGATAGAGAGGTGATTGTGCCTGTCTACTCTGCTCTTTTGAGGCCCCATCTGGAATACTGCATCCAAGTGTGGAGCCCCCAGTACAAAAAAGACAGGGAACTCTTGTAGAGGGTCCAGAGGAGGGCCACAAAGACAATCAGGGGATTGGAGCATCTACCTATGAAGACAGGCTGAGGAAGCTGGGCTTGTTCAACCTGGAGAAGAGAAGGCTGCAGGGTGACCTCATTGCAGCCTTTCAATACCTAAAGGGAGCCTACAAAAAGGAGGGGAATCAACTCTTTGAAAGCATCGATAACTGCAGGACAAGGGGAAATGGTTTTGAGGAAGGGAAGATTTAGGTTGGATGTCAGAGGGAAATTCTTTTCAGAGAGAGTAGAGAGGTACTGGAACAGCTGCCCAGAGAGGTCGTGGATGCCCTGTCCCTGGAAGTGTTCAAGGCCAGATTAGATGGGGCCCTGGGCAGCCTGGTCTTGTATTGAATGTGGAGGTTGGTGGCCCTGCATGTGGCAGGGGGGTTGGAGATTCATGATCCTTGAGGTCCCTTCCAACCCTGTGAATCTATAAATACTGATAATGGATTTCTGGTCACACAAATCAAAAATTAGGAAGATCAGAATTTCACCCAATATGTAAAACTTCATAGAGAAATGTTAATAAACAAAAGTCTTTAAAGGTCAAGAAAAACTATTTAAAAAAAAACAACCCAGAAGTCATAAAAACATTTCAATATAAAATTTGTAAAATATTACCCTATTTATTCTCTAGACTTTTCTAGCAGCATTTGAATTTATCTTAATATATCCATAGAAAACTGATGATGAAGCATTTGCCATTTCAGAAAGTCGAGCTAAAGTCTCTGCGAGCAAAAAATAGCACGCAATTTTCTCTTCCACTTCTAGTTCTCCAGGTCAGTGTGGATATTGCGCATGACAGTCTGAAGGAGAGCCAGTGCTGCTCACTGGGCTCCGGGTATTTGACTCATAAGAATTTGGAGCAATTTCAACCACACCCTCATTTTGAGGGGTTTCTCCTTTCAAAAAGTCATCATCTTCATCTTCAGGAGTACCCTGCATGAATTGAAAAGGATCAGTGAGAGCAAAAATACATTCCAGGTCTCTATTTGACAGAAGTAAAAACTGCTAAAACCAAAAAGGGTATTTCCAAAACAAATTCCGAAATTCATCAAATCTCCTATCAAAACACTGGAGTAAAATCAATAAACTTACCAGTTAACTAAAGGCACCTACAAATCTACAACACCATATTTTTCCATGTTATCATAGAAAGGGAAGAAATGAAAAACTTAACGTGAGCCAGTTGTGTGCTCTTGCAGCTTGGAAAGCAAATGGTATCCTGGGCTCTCAGGAGTGGCCTGCAGGGACAGGGAGGTGACTGTCCCTCTCTACTCTGCCCTCATGAGGCCCCAGCTGGAGTTCTGCATCCAGGTCTGGGGCCCCCACTACAAGAAAGACAGGGTACTAGAGGAGGGCCACGAAGATCATCAGAGGGTTGGAGCACCTACCCTATGAAGACAGGCTGAGGAAGCTGGGCTTGTTCAACCTGGAGAAGAGAAGGCTGCAGGGTGACCTCATTGCAGCCTTTCAGTACCTAAAGGGAGCCTACTAACAGGAGGGGAGTCCACTCTTTGAAAGGGTCGATAAGGCAGGAAAAGGGGAAATGGCTTTAAGTTGAAGGAGGGAAGACTGAGGTTGGTTATCAGGGCCAAGTTCTTTACCAAGAGAGTGGTGAGGTGCAGGAACAGACTGTCCAGAGAGGTTGTGAATGCCCTGTCCCTGGAAGTGTTCAAGGCCAGATTGGATGGGGCCCTAGGCAGCCTGGTCTAGTATTAGATATGGAGGTTGATGGCCTCGCATACAGCAGGTGGTTAGAGCTTCATGATCCTTGAGGTCCCTTTCAACTCAAGCCATTCTACACTTCTGTGAAATACACAGTTGACAGAAGGTTGAAAAAGGATAGACATTCTGCAAGAAGGTAAACAGACTTTGTAGAAGCAGTGGAAGAACGTGGGATGTACTACAACTGTCATGATTAGTTAGGACGACAAGAGAATTATATGTACACTCATTGTGAAGCAACTACCTACAAAGCAGATTGATCCCTGTAACAAGACTGCACATACACCACGTGGATGCTCCTAACAGTTGTGTCCATACACACTCTTCCATAGAGAGGAAAAGTAAGGTTGGATCAATTTTTTAAGTTTTCTATCTGATTCCAGTCACTGTCTATCACGTTTTCTATGCTTATAGTCACTAGCTAACCAATTAAGCAAATGAAAGCAGCTGACAGAGTGGCTACTGAATTGCATTTTGTAACAGATTACCCTTTTAATTGGCTTCTTCAGATTCTCTAAATCTTCAGCACTCAGTTCTTCCCAAAACTGATAAAATGGATCAATGGTCTTCTTTGATCTGAAAGTGGAATTAAAAGACAGTGCGAGTTATTTTATTCAGTAAAACGGATTTGATTTTAACAATCCAATATAAATGGTTGGAATTCTGATAGCCATCTTCAGGATTTCACAAACAACTCTG